ATGAATTTTAGTGATCCAACGTCCATTCATTATGCCAAACGTGAGCGTTCTCTTACTTCATCATTTTAATGTAATCTAAGAAACCGTTTCAGCATTCAATTGGCGGTTTCCTGCTTTGACAGGGACATTGACTTTATCGTATTTTATCCATAATGCAGTCATCACTATCCTTCGAAATCAAAGAAATCCGGAAAATAATGTAAGTGATTTCATGTCATTTTGCAGTATTCTCTAGTTTCAAGCAAGTTTATCATCTTTTTGAATTTTCGTACAGTTTTCAGATATTGCAACATTCACAACATTCAGCTCATTTTTCCCAATATTTACATGCGCTTTTCAGACACGTGATCTTTCAATTGGTTATTCATTAGCCGCATTCTGTTACGTTTTTATCGGCTTTGCCTTTTATGCTGGATTCCCCGTGCAAAGAAGTTGCATCAGTGACGTAAGTCTTCATTTCTTCATAATCTGCATTGCTCTTGCTGACTTAGCGACTGGTTGCTATAACGGTATCGAACGAACTGATGGTATCTCTGAACGTTGAACACCATAGATGTTATCTTTTGCAGAACTTCCTCAACAATTTCGGTGCTGGAGACATCCTGAGCAGCACAGCTCGTATGTTCTTACTTTTCCAAATGATTACGGTGCTTCCATTGCTGATGTTCCTCATTCGTTCACAGCTCTGCTATGCTTTCTTAGGCAAAACCTGGCCTGGGTGAGTATTGACCTTAACGGTTATCAAGTATTAGTTTCCTCAATGTTTTCAGCATTTGTTTATAGGCTGATTTCGGTTTTTATACTCAACTTTGCGATTATGTGTATGGCTGTGAGTGTTGCTATATTTTATCCAAAGGTCGGAAGCCTTCTTCGGTGAGTATTGCTAGTAAATCATTCGGATATTTTTTTTCTAATTTTCGCCCCTCAGATACGTTGGAGCTATGTCTGGATTGGTGTATGTATTTGCGCTTCCTTGTATAGTTTACATGAAGAAATTACATTCGGAAGGCAAATTGACCCGATCGAAGAGGATCATACACACGACTATCATTGTCCTCGGTGTCCTGAACTTTATTGCGCAGTTTGTGATATAAGTCAAAGCGCTATGGTTGAATTCGCATGTCTTTCCTGATTTGGACTCATACCTTCTTGACTGAGTAAGTGTCAGTTT